TTTTTTTTTTTTTTTTAATTTAATCCGTGACCATCGGCTGCAGCCCAATATTCTTTTCAGGGGCTTCTATTTTGACACGCTCAGGAAACCTTGACAATGCATCTGCGTTGCTATGGTTCTTTTCAAGACGGTGTATAATTTTGAAATTATACGGCTGCAAGTGAAGTATCCAACAGGCATGACGACCAGACAACACCGAAGTCTGCAACCACTTCAGGGCGGCGTGGTCGGTTACGACTGCAAAGGGTTTCAGGCTGAAGTAATGGCAGAAATATTCGATAGCCCACAGAACCACCAAACATTCGAGTTCAGTGGTATTATAATTCATTTCGGGTATTGTTAGAGCCCGACTTGCGTACGCTACAATGTACTCTTTTCCCAGATCATCTTTCTGGGCCAACACGGCACCCAGACCTATTCCAGACGCATCGGCATGAATGATAAACGGTTTGTCGAAATTTGGGTAACGGAGCACTGGGGCCTCCATAAGTTGATACTTTAGTTGGTTGAAGGTATCTTCCTGTTGATGGGTCCATTCATACCTGACATCCTTCTTCAACAGATGGTGCAGGGGGTGCACAATCGAAGCGAAGTTTGGGACAAACTTCTAATAGTAGGAAGCTAGTCCTATAAACCCACGAAGTTGGCACAGGTTCTTTGGGGCAGGGAACTTCCGGAACTTCTCTACTTTTTCATCGTCGGGGCAAACTTCATCACGGCCAACGATATGTCCCAGAAACTGCACGTGGGGCTTAAAAAATGCACATTTATCCAGATTCAACTTTAAGCCTACAGCCTTCAGTTTTTTGAAAATGGCGGCAATGTGGTTCAAGTGTTCGTTGAAGGAGGCAGAGTAAATAATGATGTTGTCGAGGTATACCACGACAAAACGTTCGATATGCTCGGCAAGGACGTAGTTCATCATCCGTTGGAAGGTGGCGGGAGCGTTACAGAGACCAAATGGCATCACGACGAACTCGTAAGTGCTGAACGGGACCGCAAACGCAGTCTTTTTTCTGTCCTTTTCGCTTATTTGAACTTGCCAATACCCTGACAGCAGGTCCAACGTCGAAAACCAAGCAGCATACCCAAACACCTCCAGTAGGTCGTCGATACGGGGAGGGGGAATGCATTTTTCTTGATTACTGCGTTAACCCAGCGATAGTCAACGCACATTCTTAGCTTACCATTCTTTTTGGGGACGACCACCATGGGGGACGCCCACAGACTCTTTGAATCACGAATCAACCCCTTTTCCTTTAATTGTGCCACTTCCTTTTTTATAAAGGCACGTACACTAGGGGCATCACGATATAGCGTCTGCTTTATAGGGAGGCAATACCGGTATTGATTTCATGTTCCACAACATTTGTTTTTCCAAGATCGGTCATACTATGAGCAAAGGTATCCCTCCTGGCCAGTAGCATCGCACATGCACGGGCATTTCTTCTGGTTCTAAAGGGGCACTGTTCACACTTTCTTCCAGCTTTTCTTCCATGGAGGGTTTATCATCGGGATCGGGGTCCTGGGTTGGTAGTTCTTCTACGTTCGCCAAACAAACAGCAGGGCTACCGTAGTCAACCTACGGGTTTCTAAAAAGCTCATCATCGGGAGTCCCTTCGGTAAAATATCCATCCGCTTCATCTAGCTCTTCATCGTCATAGTCAAACTCATCAAACGTATCTTCACTTCTGGTGGTTCAGCAGCAGGTTCTTTTGGGGGTCCTCCATCAGTGGAGATCGGGACTTCACTGGTTTTACCATTGTACGTTAGATACAACCTTTTTTCCGCAAAATGTAACCAGGCCTGGGCTTTCACAAACCAATCCATTCCCAACAGCAACAAATCGTCAGTGGATTCTATTATTTGAAATATCGTGGGGATTAACATATCTCAAATAGTGATTTTAAGGTCATTAATCCTTCCTAGAGCTCGCTCCCGGGTTCCAGTCGCTGTTACCACGACGGTGGGGGATGGTTCGTCGATTTTTAGCTTCAATTTTTCTATCATTTTTTTCAACATCAAACTCACGGCGGCACCGGAGTCAAGTACGGCAACGATCGGGTTATTCTTTACTCGTATGTAGCAGTGGGCGGCAGTGGTACGCTCATTATTCAGGGGCTGTACAACATTCGTTTTCATGTCGAGGGGTTGAGCAGGTTCGACTATAGGTGGTCTCTTCAGTACTTGGGCCAAGTTACAACGCTGGTTCGGGTACTGCAAGAGCTGACCAATAGTGGCATTGGATCTTATTTCCAAAAGGTCTTGGGCCACGTTATATGGTTCCAACTGCTCAATAATCAAGGTCCTCTTCTATATCAGGTTTGTAGTGGGGGAGCTTCCGGGGCTTGGGGTGTGGCAGGTTTAGGCGTCACGTTTATCGGGGGTACTACAGGAGCACTTACCAATGGCGGGTTGATTCTCAACCTTTCTTCCGTCTGACTTTCCGACTTCTTTACATTTCGTCGGGGTCGTTGTGTCGTATATGGTTGGTGATGGGAGAGAGGCAACACGAACGCATCTTCCCCTTCCTATTGATAACCAGTATCGTCAAGGTCACACAGGTTCACATTCCGGGTCTGGTGCAGTATCTGCACTGGCGGGTTATTCAGGTCGGTCCTTGGTTGCTGGACTGGGGCTGGCGGGGG